ATCTGATTGCTGACCTCTGCAAGAAACAAAGCCTCAGGTCAAAAAGGAAATATCTATAATTAATTCAAAAATTTAATGTGTAATGAAATGATAGCATTCCTATCAATTAAATCATCCCTCAACTTCCATAAGTTTCAACGAGAAATCAAGTCTAATTCAAAACACTGTAGTTAAGTGAGACTTAAATCATAAAAGCATGATGCAACACCACAACCCTAATCTGTACACTGCTGCCAAAGGAAGTCTAAGCACAGACCCTCCAATTGGCGTGGTGTGACATCAAACTCCTGCCACCAAACCTTCTCCCCATCGGAAGGAAGTTTTACTTTGAGGAACTTGGCAGCAAGAAAAATAGCACCTGCTGCAATGTGGTGGGGCTTAAACTGTAAGCATAGAGAAGTCCGAAGCCTGCATACCACTTTCCCGTGTCAAGAGGAGGAAGAATAGCCAAGGATGGGCACTATGTTAGAACTGTAACAAGCAAATATATCATACCCATCATTAACAAAGTTCCATGCAACTTGAGCTAGGGCATTTTGAGCAACTTTGAATTTTTTTATAGCCTCAACAAGGGGTTTATATGGATGGAGTACATTGAGATCAAAAGCGAGAGTTCCAAGAACAAGCCTCTCTCCCAGTAAAATAAGTTCTTTTTGTTGTTCATATACCTCCTGCAAAGGATACAGTAATATCAAATAACTGTAGTACAGAACAAACACTACAAACATTCCATAACCCCCAGTAATAGAAAATCAATATTAAGTCCCCGTTTGGCCTCCATTCTACAAAAATACAATTTTCACTTTCTTATTTTCAACCACACATTCTTCAATAAAATAATATTATGCGTAAACCCAAAACTTTTCCTTCTTTTTTAACCACACATTCTCCAAAATATTATTATTAAAAAACACATTCTCTCCCAAAATGCATTTTTAATGGAGCCTAAACAAGGGCTAAATATCATTCCAGATTGAAAGAGATAATAATGTAATGTACCAAAGTCACAGACTACAATTTTTTTAGCAATAGGCCTCTAGAAACAAATAAGGTCAAACTAGAAATAAAGGAACCAAACTCCGTAGTAGTAAAGCCAATATTAGAGAAAACATGTACAACAACAACAAAAACCACCTTTTGCTTGATCTTTTGCACAGCTGCAGGATCCTTTTTATGAATAATTTCATATGACACTAGTATGATATCTTTAAGAGGACGAGGAGTTTCTTCAACTTTACCGGCAAGGAACATACATACCGTGGCAATCATCTGCAAAAAGAGCGCAAGAGGTCAAGCACAAATTATCAATTTTGTTTACAGAAATATCGTCACAGAAATTAAGGCTAAAGCAAAGTCTTAAGTTGAATACTTCTTACTAGCAATATGCCAAAAAATACTGGAAATAAGGGTGGGTCAGGTTGTCATTGAGAATAGCGATAGCCTAGGCTATGCAAGCAGATTATAAAATGGAGAAGAGGTGGAACAACAGAAGAAAACAGAAGAAGAGAATTACAAAGAATGATGAGGAAGAAACAGAGATAAAAAGACAAGTAAATTGTTGTTAAAGCTCCAAACTATAGCTTAGAATTCCACTATCCTAAAATTATTAAATCAAAGTTTTTATTTTGAAACTGAAAATATGTTAGCCTGGCAACGTTATTCTAACATTATTTTCCTTCAATTGATTTATTGACATATAAAGTTCTTGATAGTAGCCTTATCACATTTTAAAGTTACATAGATTTAGGATTTCTTATGTAACAATTTTAAAATTTGTAATTTCAGTTCGTGATCTTTAATCATCCAATATCTTTGTTTAAATTTCACATATAGTAACTTCATTAAATTATTTACCACAATTACCACAAAACTTAAATAAAAATATGTTCTCTGTGCTCATAATCTACAAAACTAGCACTGACCGAATCCTGAGTTAGAAAACTTTTAAACCTGGACATATAGTTCCAGAATAATTTTTTAATGGAAATAGAAGGCAAGGAAATGTAAACGAAAAACTGAAAAACAAAACAAGAAGACTTTGTAAGTAGAACAGCAGTGATGTGTTGCAACTGTAGCTGGTGAGTCTCTACTATTAAATGAACAGTGTACACAGACCCCTATACATACATAGTAGATTTTATTCCAGCCTTTTTATTTTCACAATTCATTTCTTAACAAGTAAATCAGATTTATATTGTTAAATCTTTTAAAAGGCATAGTCGGATACTGAGGCATTTTTTTCTTCATGAGGCAAAACATAAGCCTCAAGGCGTTTTGAGGTGCAAGCCTCGCTGTAAATCAAAAAATGTCAAAAACTTACTTTCCGTCTCATAAAGATAAGGTTTTTTTATTTTCACATAGATTAAAGAAATATAATTAATATAGTTGGATATATAAATTTTACTCACATTTTTCCTAATGTACCCCTATATTAAATAATGGTTTACATAGAAGTAATTCATATTTGTTGATAACAAGGAACATTATATAGAGGCATATTAGAAAATTCAGAAATCGCCTATAGTCTCAACAAGAAAAGTGGCATATAGTTTGGGGCAAACAAAAAAAGGAAAGCAAGCTTATTTTTATGGGATGGATAGAGTATTAAAATGCAAAATAAGCTCATAATTCATCATAAACGATCTTCAAATTCATCATAGAACAATTAGATGTGGGCAAACAAACAAACAAAAGAAAAATATACGAAGAAAATATTATTTTAGTTTGTCAGGACAGAAGTCCCAAAGTCGGTCTAAGAGATTCAAAATGTTTGTGATTTAGTTGGCAGTGGACTATTCTCGATATCTATAAACAATGATTGTGCATAGTTTAATTGGGGTCGTCTTTGTTTTTATCCTCGTGGTTTTGGTGGAGCCTTGATGTGATGCTCACATGTTTTTGGAAACTACGGACTGAAATCAGTCATCTTTAGACAAAACAATGATAAGAGATGATGTAAAACAACATGAAAACAAAAGTGGAATTGCAGATAAGCATACTAGAACAAGAAGCAAATGAGTTCTAGGAGTGGTTGGACCATCAAAAACAAATGTAGCAAATGAAGGTAGAACTCAAAACTGGAGTATCTTTGATCTGGGAGGATTTACAGTAACCCATGGAAAGCCTCTCTCATGTAGAATTGGACATCAAAGATTGGATCATTTTTAGGACCAGAAATTCAGCTTTTTCGTTAGGTGTATCAGTGAATTTGGCCAGCTAGGATTACACTATATTTACGTTGTTAATACACACTTTTGAGAAGCTGCCATCTTCTGATAAATAAAATTGATAATCCTTTAATGCAGGTTTTCCTTGAGTTTGAAGACACGGTTCTCTCAATTCAATTCAATTCTCACTCCATTAATGGTGTGTTTGATTACACTTATTTTCCAAAGAAAATATCTGTTTTCTATCCAAATTCTTACTTGGAGTATTTGATTGCTATTTTTTTCCATGGAAAATATTTTCCAACTTTTGAAAATATGCCTAATTTTCCTTGGGTGGAGGTGATTTTTATTTTCCTCAAAACAAGAAAAATATTTTCTTTTTTAGGTGATATTTTCCATGTCAATCAAACATACTCTAAGAGAGAGCGGAATTTATTAATCCCAAATTACTCCAGAAAATCAAAACCACAATTTTACATATGGTCTTTAGTAATATTTGAGAAAACAGGACGGTGCATTGGGCACTCATATTGGATTTTCAGTTCCCTCAAAAGCACATCAAGCAAGTATGAATGTGCATGGATAATATAAATGCAACTATTGTTATTTTGATTCAAAAAATATATTTATTTAAGTACCACATCTATTCAACGGGAACGCATTTAATATATCTACGACACACTCAAACGAAATCAACCGGGATAGGATTGTGAATAGATAGAACC